TTGTGCACCGAGGATAGTTCAGACGTTGCACGGCATTGAGGTGAGTTACCTTCCAGTAGGGGTGGGTCTAAGGCCATAATGCCGACCCACCAAAAAGGGGTATTTAGAAGATAATGGTCTTTGTGGTAATTATCTTGGTCTGGTTATGTGTTGGTAGTATGCTATGTGTATGGTAGGGATTAGTTTCCCTGACAGTGGTCCATAGGACCCAAGGGTAGGTCAGTACCCGAATATGCCTTAATGTATGCTTATATCTGTTGATTGTATGTTAGTAGCAGGGGGTGAAATAGTCCCCAGTTACCGGTTGAAAAATACCGATGATGGTTATCGGTTGAAAGATACCGATGTTGTTTACCAGTTGAAAGATACCGATGAAGGCTACCGGTTGAAAGATACCGATGAAGGTTACCGGTTGAAAGATACCGATGATATTGTATGGTATGTGGTATGATGGGGGAACTCACTAAGCTTTGTGGTTACAGTTTTGATTTTGGTTTTGGTTTCAGGTACCTCTTCGTCAAAGGGGAAAGTGTCGGCGGCATAGCAGCGCATCACACACACGCACATGTTTCCGCAAGAAGTTTTTGGGAATGTACTATGATTTTCTATACTTTTGATGTTATGGTTTGAAATACAACATTATGATTTTGTAATGAATATTCATTGACAATGTCTTGGTAAAAATGTTTGTTAAACGCGTTAATTAAAAAACGAAATTTTTTGCCTTGAAATTTGAGTCGTTACATTGATCTTCCTGGATCTTCTATAGAGGTGTACATAGTTTATCAACTTTTTGACTTTCAATTCTCGGTATGTATAATGGTTACCTACTTTCTCAATTGCCTTTTCTCATGTCATTAGAAAATAGATAAATAATTTTTTTATATTTTGTGAAGTTTAATAATTGTGAAGTGCAGATTTATAATGTGTTTTTTTAATGTTTTTTTCTTGTGGTGGTGGTGTGGTGGAAGATTTTTTTTCTTAATGTAATAATGTGTACATGGATTAAGATTTTCAGTTTCGTTATATTGTTCTTTTTTTTTTTTTTGCCATGGTGAAATATGTTTGGTTAACTTCATGCCTCACGTCATCAAGGTCAACACTAAAGAGGTAAATTTACCATTTTGACCTTTGAGTTTGTGAGACTTTGAATAATCTTTAATAATTGGTGTTAAAAAATTTATTTTTGAAATAATATTGCAAATTTGTAAATGACATTTGTGATCTTTGGGTTCTTCAAGTCGGATAATTTGGATCGTGACAATTTACTTATCTAGATAGGATTTTTTTATTTTAGTTAAAAAAAACCTTCATTAATTTATGTTGTTGATAGAATATATTTTATATTTTCTCTACGATTACGATTGTATCTACCAAAAAAAAACACAAGACTTGATACAACATTAGAAAAATACACAACTAAATCCAAGAACTAACATCACAATTTCCTTATTTGTTTGCAATATCATCATACATCTAATTATATATGTTACAACGTTGCACCTTCAACCTATGTGTTATTAATATCGATGTAATTTCATTTCTTACCCGTAATAGAATTATACTTTTATTTTCTTCCCAAATTACCCTCTACACAAATTACGACAAGGATACATACAAAAGCACACGTGATTGAAGCTGTAGATGCATGTAAAAAGTACGTTTTTATTTTATTTTTTAGACAAGATCACATTGAAGTTGTACACGCATGTATAAATAATGAAGAACCAAAACTGCAAAATGATGACCAACCATCTCTTGAATGTATAAATTTGATGGGTTATAACCCAATATTGCAAAAAATATGAAATTTAACTTTCATTTAATTGTTGATTATAAGAATATCTTCTATTGTCTTTTTCTTATTTATTCTTTTATATTGATAATTCATGTATATAAAGAGGAAAATCTTTACCTTTTGGTTGTTAGCACATTATATTTTAGATGATCATAAAAATACCTGCATTACTTTTCGTTGATTGTGTTTAGCATGAGCCTCAAACTTTTCTAATATATATATATATATATATATATATATATATATATATATATATATATATATATATATATATATATATATATTCATACGAAACTAATCAAAAAATAAAAAACAACAATTATGATAATTTATAGCCATTATATTTTTTAACTTAATTATAAAAAAATATAATTTGGATATTATAATATAAATAAAAAATATATAAAATAGTGATTACAAACTAAAATTATAAAATTATAAACATTATATAAAAATTAATTAATAATAGATAAAAAAAGAAAATGTTGATGTAAAGTGCAGGATCCTATAACGTCTAGGCTAGAGGGATTGATAACACTCATAGTATCTTGCTACATCGTATTTTTGAATGACACCTTATTTTTTTTTTTATCTTAGCACCTAATTTTTAACATATGATAGGGAGTGATAACACTCCTAGCATTTTTTATTATTATATTTTTTTTTTCAAAATTAAAAAATAACAATGAAACCTTCGAATTTTAAAAGGGGGCCTCATTTCCCAAATATCATAAAGAATATAAAATTTCATAAATATTCATATCAAATTCTTTCTGTTGGAGATCCATGGGCAAGTTGGTAATTTTAACTTGTAAAACTTATTCACAATATATATAACTAGGTTATAACCGTAGATACTACGGGTGAGAAATTTAAGAATAAGTTCAATTAAATTATAACTTAATTATTAAAAAATGTTTTGTCTTTAATTTAATGTAAAATAATTAGTTACTTTGGAAAAATTAATAATTTACACATTTATATAATTTATCTTTAATTTAAAAACGTAATTTTATAACATATGAGTCTAATTAATATTTAATATTTATTTAGGATGTTATTTAGAAAAAAACATTAAAATATTTCATATGTATAATGATAAGTAAAATTAAGTTAAATCTACTAATAACATTGTTAGGAAATAATATATATAATGGTTTTTTAAAATTTAAATTAATTTTAATATAAAGTGAAATATATATACATACGCATGTTATAGTATCCAATATCCTCATACACTTTCCTCAAACATACCAATAACCCTAGACGATTTCATTTCTCTGGCACAACACACATAGACATTGTTTGTTCTGTATTTTTCAATCTAGACTCAAGCTCGGTCTCCATCGATTGAAGATCAGAAGCAAATAATTAAGGTTTTGTATTTGAAACAAATTAGATCCATGGGCAAGTTGGTAATTTTAACCTGTAAAACCTATTCACAATATACATAATTTGCACACAGCTAGCAAAATTTGGGCTTTTTTTCTGTCTTTCGTGTTTGGGGCAACTAAGCTCATAACAAGGCCTGCTTCTTCTCAAACCATCGGAGAAAAAAAGAGGAGAAACAACAAGCAATCGAAAAAGAGAAATTAAGAGAGAAATCAGAGGAAGGAGGGTTTTTTGCTTTTTCCGATGCATTCCATGAAGAATGTCAAGATGTTAGTTAAGTGTGTGTTTGTTACAGATTCTATTAGAGAGTTAATCCGTTGACTTTATTGTTGACTCTCTTTCTATGTGTATATATTGATCAGGGTCTGTAACCATTAGTTCATAATAATGAGAACACACTTGACATTTCTCTCTCTTTTACTTTCTCAATCTCTGTTTCTCCTTTATTTCTTCCCTAAATTGATTGAAAACACAATCAATTTCTTTCTTTAGTTAGGTCAAACAAAATCCCCAGTTTCTAGCTTTGAATATTGTGATTTTTTCTTTTGAAATAGCGACAAATATCACACAATTTCATGTTTCAAACATCACGAATTTTGTTTCTACTCAATTGGATGGAGAGAATTATCTAGTGTGGCGACATCAATTCAAAACTATACTTCAAACCATGGATCTGGAGACATACATTGATTCGGATATTTCTCCACCTGCATCTACTTCACTAAATTTCATCACATGGAAAAAGATGGATGGATATGTTCAAGCATGTATTTAACGCCATTCTTCATGTCTCTGTTGCTCCCATGGCGATTGGAATCAAAACCGCAGCAGAAATTTGGAAATTACTTGAAACTTCATATTTACAGTAGGCTTTTGCAAAGAAATCTCAATTGAGAAGTGAGTTACAGAGTATATCTCAAGGTGAAACTTTCTATCAGCTCATATTGTGATAAAATAAAGATTCTTCATGAGCAATTCAAATCAGTAGGTGATCTAGTATCGGAATCAGATCTTGTTCTTCATTGTCTCCATGGTCTTAATTTTGCATTTGATAATTTTGTTATGATGATTGAAAACAATGATACCCCACCTTGTTTTGCCACATTCCGATCAAAAAGAGCAGATGAGATACATACAGATTAACACAGTGACACCCTAATTAGAAGTGTTTGAAGCAAAACCAGAAACAAATAAATGTAGAAATGAATAAATAAATAGCTAGTCATATACCCGATTCTTGTTGGAGATAACCATGAAGAAATGACAAGATGGAGAGATAATTCTATGTTCAAAAGCGTGAAATTCTTTATTAATCACACCAACAGCATTTACAGTTGATAGACAGACATTTATATCTGTGAAACCATCACAACAGTTCATACATGACAGTTATATCCTATATTAACCAACATAACAGTTAAATAACTAACCTATAACTAGTTAACTATCACTTATAATATTCTAGTCTAGCTTATAACTTTAACAATTCTTACTTGGTGTGATATAAATGAAAAGGGACCAATTAAGCAGTGGCAGCAAGAGATCCAGAAAGAGAGAGCAGGATATTTCCGGTTGAAATCCTACTGCTCATGGATTTTGCGAATTCCAAACAGATGCAATTCCCTAATCTAACAACTTCATCTTACACAAACACCGAATCCAAAAAATTCAAAATTTAAACAACACTTATATTACAAATTTCATACAAATATAAAATCTATATAGTATTAAGCATAAGTACAATATCAGTACTAAAAAGCAAAATATCTTTGATGATATATATTCAAGAATTATTTGCATTCAAGAGTATCTATGTGGTTTCTCTTCCTCTCTTCTGCTTGGTAAATCTTACCACAACTGCAACATATATTTTGTCCACAGTTTCATCAGCAAACATGAAAAGCTTGTGTCTCCAGTGCTTCTTGAACAACAAAACTCCAATAACACACCAAAACCCTGTTGCAAACCCACTCATTATGTCCACATAAAACCATATCTTCATCGGCTCATTAGCTGCTTCATATTTCTTCTTGCTTCTTGTTGATGATGGGTCTTTGTGATTTGAGCAATTCTTCAGCAATGGAGCTCCACAAAGATCTTTGTTCCCATTGTATATTGATGGATCAGTAAGGGTCTGCAACTGACGACCTGTTGGAATTCGTCCTATCAAGTTGTTGTGTGACAAATTCAAATGACTCAAAAAAGTCAAAGCTGCCATGCTTGGAGGGATCATCCCGGTCAACTTGTTTCCAGATAAATCGAGAGATTCTAACCTCGTCATGTTCCCAATGTTTTCTGGAATCATCCCACTGAGATGATTATTTGACAAATTCAGACCAATTAGCATAGAAAGTGCTGTGAGCTTGACTGGAATTTCTCCTACAAGTTTATTGCTCGAAAGGTCCATGTTGAAAACTATATCCCAAGTTTTTGTATATTCAAGATCAACACCTTTCAGGACCTGAATCACATTCTTATCTGAACTGAGGGTGGCATTACCCAAATTAACTGGGCTACTCTCAACCATGGCCTTCAACTCTCCTAGACAATGAGGTATGCTTCCCGTTAGGAAATTGTATGCAACATCTAAAATTTGAAGAGATGAAATTTTGCACAAGGATCGAGGTATACTTCCGGTGAAGTTATTCTTGTGTAACCTAAAAACTACCAAAGATCCAAGTTTTTCTCCTATCGATGCAGGTATAATTCCAGACAATTCGTTATCTCCCACATCTAAAACTCTTAAAGCTCCTAAATTCCCCGATTCCCAAGGAAGTTCACCAATAAGGTTATTGTCATTCAGTTGTAACCAAACTAATGAAGAATTAAGAGTTATAGAGTTTGGGATGACGCCAGACAACCGATTTGAGCTAAATATCATGGTAAGCAACCGTTGTAGATTCTCGAGACACTTTGGAATTTTCCCAGTTAACCTATTTCTGGATATATCAAGATATCTCAAATCTGTCCTTCTGCACAATGACCTTGGAATCGACTCATTGAATAGGTTATTTCCCAGAAATAATGCATTGTTAAGTCCATAGTCAAACACATCAACATTTACCCCATTGGGAAGGTTTGTCAAAGGTCCAGTGAGTTTGTTGTGAGAGAGGTCTAAGAAAGGAATGATGGGCATCTTCCGCAACCATGTCGGCAGAGGTCCCGAAATTGAAGTATTAGACAACACTAACTCCTCAAGTTTCCTTTGATTATGAAGCCATTGTGGAAATTCATTTCCGATATTGCAAGAATTGAGTCGAAGAGTTACCAATTGGAATGGAGGTATCCACTCATGTGAAATATTAAAGGTCAACTTCGTATTAGAAGAAGTATCCAAGTGCTTCAACATCGAAAGGTTAGCAAAATAGGCTTCAAAAATTACTCCTTCCAAGGAATTGTTTGAGATATCTAGATACTGGAGTTTGTCAAGTTTCCTAAAGGAAACTGGAATAGTCCCATTTAGCAAGTTTGAATGCACAGAAATTGCTTGTAATGAAACAAGTCTTCCTATATTTGTTGGTATGTGACCCATTAACGAATTGGATTCTAGATAAAGTTTGGTCAAAGCTGCTAATTTTCCAAAGGATTCCGGAATTGAACCACTTAATTGATTAAAAGAAAGGTCAAGTTTCGTAAGATTCCCAAAGAATGTTGGAATAGGACCCGTCAAATGGTTATGAGATAGATCTAATACTTCTAAAGTTCTTAATCTTGCTAGAGATTTGAGGATTGGACCTTTGAGAGAATTGAAGCCAAGATCCAGGTGTTTGATGTTGGACACTATTCTACTCGAATTAAGAAAAGAACCAAAAAGTCCACAATTCGACAAACTTAACTCTTTTAACGAAGGAATCATGTAAAGCATCATGTCCCAGTTATGAGCTCCACTAAGATTTAATGAATTCAAATCAAGAAGCTCGAGGGACAAAAGGCCAAAAGTCCATGCCATATCACTTGCCATCAACTCTTCGTTTGAACTGAGATCAAGAATCTTTAAATTAGAAAGGTTTCCAATGTGATGAGGAACAATACCTTGAATAAATGTATTAGAGAGATTAAGGTAAGTCAGTTGGTTTAAAGATCCAATGAACTCGGGAATCTGGCTTCCAATAAAATAATTCCCACTCAAGTCTAGGTGTCTTAGATGCCTTAATTCTACAAGAGAAGAATTTACCTCATATCCAACCAAGTAGTTGCCATCAGAATCAAAGGAGTAGGATGAACCAGACTCATATTTCTCAAAAGATACAATTGCAATGTCTCCTCTGAGATGCAGCCTTTCAACATGTCCAGTGACACCATTACAATGAATTCTTTCCCACAAGCAACAGTCATTGCCAACCCATGATGACAACATTTTAGACTCATCTCCAACGCTCTCTTTGAACTTGAGAAGAGCAAGTCGCTCTTGCTCAAAGCAAACGACACTGATGTTTCCAACACCTAAACATGTATATGCATTTGCAACCAAAAAAATAGTTACAAAAATGAGAGAAAGCCCCAAACATCTCCAATTCCCCATTGTCAACTGAAACTCGGTTTGATTCAGAGAAAGAAATTGAAGTGGAAAGACTGGTAGTAGCTGGTTATAAAGCAGAAATGAAGAGCTACTTAATTCTTGTCATTAATGACTTGGAAGACTTGTGTACGAATGGACAATTTGTATCTACAACTACAAAGTCAAACTTGCTCTTTTGTCCAGAGCTAAGTTTCTTTTTCTCTTGATCAAAATAAGTGGTTTACAAATTACAATAGATACGACTTGGTCAAACGTGTTCTTTTGTCCATGTTAAATTAAATCCATTAACGGTTGTGGTTGACCGTTACATTTTTGAAATTAAATGAAAGATGGATGACAGGTGTTAAAGCTGTAAACAACAAAAATACAAAATCGTCCTTATCAATTATCATCCATACATATGTATATATACAAATGTTTAATCTGACATATCTTTAATCTAATTAACTATATAAATTTAGTAAAGCATATTTAACTTTGAACATTATTTAGTATAATCATATTATTACCCAAACCCAACCCTAAAGGTAGTGTGTGATTAAGAGTTATGAAGAGGAAGGAAACTAAAGGTGTAAATCTAAACTAATAAACTAATTCATATGTCACAACAACATAACAATCAGGTTTACATTCGTGCAAAGATCCTATTTAACCCAAACAATCTGCCCTTATTCCAAATGATAGCACTAGATTTTTCATGCTTCCTTTGTCCTCCTCCTTTGATTGTAGCTTGAGAAGAGAGATAAGATAAAGACTGCACCCAAGAAACAAGTGTTGGTTTCCGTGTCACATCGTCTGAATCAGCAACTTGAGCAAATAAGTCATTCAGCACCATATTTTGTCCATCTTCAGGAAGCTCCACAACCAGTTGTGCTAAAAGCTTCATCAAACTTGGCAACACCTGAACAACATAACAATAACAGATGCCATTAAACCCTTGAATTTTATAAGTTTTGGTTAAAAAGATAAGGGTTAATCTCATCAAAAGGCCTTATATTTTGTGTTTTTTTTCGGATTAAACCTCAACTTTATTATTTTCCTTGAAAAGACCTTACATTTTTTCATTTTTTTCAATCTGGCCCTTTTAGTCATTTTTTTCCAGGTTAATCTCATAAAGACATTATATTTTATGTTTTTTCGAGACTAAACCTCAACTTTATTTTTTTCGTGAAAGAAACCTCGTATTTTTTTTCAGTTTTTCCGAAAAAAACCCTCAAGTTTGCTTTTTTTTTTTTCCGGCAAAAAACCCTCAACTTTCAAACTGTCTCAGAAAAAACCCTCAACTTTATTAGTTTCGGACGTAAAAACCCTCACATTTTACAAGATTTATCCGAAAAAATGACTAAAATAGATCGAAAAAAAATGAAAAAATGTAAGTTCTTTTTCACGAAAAAAATAAAGTTGAGGTTTAATTCGGAAAAAAGACAAAATATAAGGTCTTTTTTGAGATTAACCCTTTTTTTTCCAAAAAAAAACTTGTAAATGTGAGGGTTTTTTTTAAAAAAACTAAAAAGAATTGAGGGTTTTTCAGAAACAGTTAGAGAGTTGAGGGTTTTTTCGGAAAAAAACACAAAGTTGAGGGTCTTTTCGGAAAAATGATAAAGTACAAGCTTTTTTTCAGGAAAAAAATAAGGATGAGGTTTAATTTGTAAAAAACTCAAAATAGAAGGTCTTTTATGAGATTAACCCAAAAGATAATCAAATTAATACCTGTATATCAACCAGTGAGAGAAGTCTGAGAAGTAAATCTAGAAGCTTCTTACATGGCTCTAACTCATCGTGTAAATCATTCCATGAATTTGGCTCTTTTGGGAATTCACTACAAAGACTACTTGCTTTTTCCACTAGACAATGAACAGAGTAAAATATACAAGGACTTCCAGCAGGAAGATACCTAACCAATGCTGCAACTCCAGATGCCATTCCTTCAAATGGTGTTACACCAGGATACCCCTAAATATTAATCAAATTAAATAAAGAATCAAGAATCAGTGAGTTTAGAACTTTAAAAAGTTGGATTTGGATACCTCTAAAGATCTCTGCATGTAATAGTAAACAAGTTGTTCCTTCAACGAAACACGTTCATCATCATAATCTTTCCCAGAAGAAATGAAAGCTACAAATGTTGAATGTGAGGCTCGAGTCACTTTTCCATTTGGATGTCCCATGTATCTATTTTTTTTTTTTTTAAAAGTTAAGTAAATCGTATCTAAAAGTATCACTAAATTCTTCATAGGGCATAATCTGTAAATTTTATATCAGGCAAGGAGCATTTTTTTTAACAAATGGACCATTTGCTGTTAAAAAAATTCAGCACAGGGACCTTTTCTGTAAATTATAGGGGCAGTTTTGTAATTTATTTTCTATAAAGGGACCAAACCTGCCAACATATGAAAATATTGTGGCAAAAATGTCAAACCCAAAGCGTATACTATTTAAACACATCGACCATTTGTGTAAAAAATACTGCACAGGGACCTTAATAGTAAATTACAGGGACATCTTTTGTAATTTATTTTCTACACAGAGACTAAACCTGCCAACATACGAAATTCAAATTTGAGTGAGTGAAAGTGATATTTTACAAAGTAGAAGGGCAGAAAGTGCCATTCTACAAAGTAAGGGCAAAAAATGCCAAGATGCGAAAGTCCAGGGACCAAATCTACCCACATAAGAAAGTTTCGTGACCAAAGTCTAAAACCTAAAACTATACTAATCCTACCCAAGTTTTCTTTTTATTTATATATAATAATAATAATAATTTAAATATCCAGGATACAAAAATAGAATGGGAGCAACAGTTTTTCTGAAAACTGAAGATGGAATGTATTCAGCACAAGTCGGAATCACACGCAAATAGAATAAGATTCTAGAAGTTTGCATTTCATCTTTACACCAAGTAAACTCCATTTTGTTGGAAGAAACTGCAACCCAAATAAATATAAAATAAGGGGAAAAATGTAAATATGTTGTTATTATGGGTAAAGAAATGTAAATATAAAGTTATAAACTACCATGAACTTTTGTCAAGTCACCATATGAAGGAATGGACTCAACAAATGAAACACAAGCAGCTTCATTTTCTTGAACACTTCCAGCAACACCTCTAATTGTATCCATGTATTCAGACAAACGCATTCTCCGAAAATACTCCAAACAAGAAAATGAAATTAATATTTTTACTGATATATCAAGTTGAATTTCTTTAGGAATATTCGGGACTAATTTCTGTTTAGTAACAGCTAAAGAGAAGAACACCACCATAAGAAAAGCTGACTCGGTTATCTTCTCCAAATCTTGGAGTAACTCTTCATCTTTTCCCTTGAGAAATAACGCCACCTGGCGATGTGACATGTAAACATCTTGACAGAAGTCCCATATAAGATTCTCAACTTTATTCTTACTGAGTTCATTAGCTTGAGCATATTGTTTGCAAAAAACACTGGTTATCACTCCTGCCTCTTTGAAAATGACACTTTGTAGGTGTTCTTTAACTTCATGATTTCCTTTGTTACCAGAATTCATGTAAATGTGTGTGTAAAACCGTTTTAGAGGAAGGATTTCAGTCAATATTGCTGAGGTGAGACATAAAAGAAGAGAATGTTTCTCTCTAGAGAAAACATCACCACTTCTAGCTAAAGCTAATGATATGCATTGTAAAAGAACACTATCGTTTCCATTTATGGAAACGTATTCAGTTGCAATGATTTCAAGTCGTTTTTCAGCAGAGCTTCTTAATTCCATGAGACCTGAAGATATTGACCTATTGGAAGCTCTTAATGCTCCTGCTGCCCCCATGACAATAGAAAATGAAGCATATTGTGATTTGTGGGATTCTAGAATCTCTCTTGAAAAGATGATGATTTTCTCGTGTGATTGGATACAATTGTAGAGAACCCATTCAACAAGATGTAAGATCATTAGACCATGTTGTACACTACTTGAAGGGCCTCCTTCTTTATTCCAAATTCCAAATAAGGTATCAAGAATTCGAATAAAGTGAATACTCCCTGAAGAAGATAGAGCATACCCTATTCCAGAAAGTACACTTGGAACAAGATCATCAAATAAAGAAACCAACTTGTATTCTTCCTCCATGATTTTACAGAAGAAATCAAGGCACTGTGTTCTTTTGTTTTCGGGTATTGAGGGGATGAAAGAAAAAGCACCAAGAAGAAGAAGGAATTCAGTGAAGAATAAAGAGCTTTTATTGGTCACAGATTGAGATGAAAATAGTTGAAAGAGGACATTGATGGAAGAATTAATAAACAAAGGAGAGGGTTTAGACGATTTTCTAACCCATATGTATAAAAGCCTGAGAAAGAGAGGGTATGATTCAGAAGGTAGAGATAGGTCTGGTGATGATAGAATAGCGAGTATAAGCTTAACTTGTGGATCTGCGACATAAAGGGCAATTCCGGAATTTAAGAGAGTGTGTAACGATTGGTAGTGTTGCTGAGTGAATGATTTTTGTTGGAGGGATTCCCTAAGATCAGCCCATGCTTGGATGATGGCTCGAGCTGATTGGGGTGTAGAATTTGTAGAGTTGGTATTGCTGATAGTGCCACTGTTGGCTTTAAGCCATTCTTCAAGAAAGAATGTTTGAGCTTGTTTCGCCATTGTAGAAACTTCACCTACACCTCGGAATTTATAAGTTTGTTAACTCAATTCAGTGAGGGGTTTCTTTCCATCCCTAGAACAGATTCATATTACGTCTGTGTTGATTCAAATTTCAACATGGATAAACGTCATAAATGGAACATATAAACCCTAGAACCATGAAATTAAGCAGTTAAGAGTATGGAGAAGGGGCTAGAAACAGATTAATTGTTGAATTACTCAAAAATGAAGATTACCATGTTGAGTAACAATTGAGTAATCAGCAGCAGAGAGGTTAATAAACCAATCCCATTCAGCGCAAAGCTTCAAAAGTGTAGCAGCACAATTTAAAGTGGAAGAAATAGAAGAATTATTTTTAGGAGAAACGACACTGAATTGACTAACGGATAGGGCTAAAAAGTCACGTTTTTTTGAAGGGGCAGAACAGTCTAGATGAAGAAAATATGGGTTTCTTGGATGGTAGATAGACAACAGTAGTCTGATGACCCGAGCCGAATAGTTGAAGGATCCGGATATGAACTAGACGATGGTGGATGAGTCGGGGAGATTGGTGGTGGCTTTGTTGTTGTTGAGGAAGACGAAATCGTGGTTATTGTATTGGGCGGTGGAGGGATGGTGGTTGAACAGGGGAAGATTGAATCTTTAATTTCTTGAAAAGTTGAACTGGTGGTTATGGAGGTCGGAGGAACGGCTGTTGCGAAGGAATATACTGATAAGTGAGAACTTTTAAGAGAGTGTTTAGAGTTGCTTTTCTAAATCCTCCCGGATTTTTTTTTTTTAATTTTTAAATCCTCATAAATCAAAATCTATTTTTTTTATACATCCTTTTCTTTTTCATTTGCACTCATTTTTTACAATTTTACAATTTTTTATTTTCCCATTTTATTATATTTTTCATTCTATTAAATTAAAATTTCATAGTAGTAACATATAGGAATGCAGTTTAAATTTCTTTGTATTCTTTCTGATGTAAGTAAGTGGTAATTGAATAATAGTATTTCCCCAGAAAATCTGATATTTTCTGATTTATAAAAATGTCACGATCCTTGCACCGTAGAAATGTTTTGTAACTCAATTCAGTGAGGGGTTTCTTTCCATCCCTAGAACAGATTCATATTACGTCTGTGTTGATTCAAATTTCAACATGGATAAACGTCATAAATGGAACATATAAACCCTAGAACCATGAAATTAAGCAGTTAAGAGTATGGAGAAGGGGCTAGAAACAGATTAATTGTTGAATTACTCAAAAATGAAGATTACCATGTTGAGTAACAATTGAGTAATCAGCAGCAGAGAGGTTAATAAACCAATCCCATTCAGCGCAAAGCTTCAAAAGTGTAGCAGCACAATTTAAAGTGGAAGAAATAGAAGAATTATTTTTAGGAGAAACGACACTGAATTATAACCGTAGAAATGTTTTGTATCATTATGACTTACGAGTTTTTAATTTTTCGTAATGTCTTAATAGGAATGGATCTCTATATGAGTCATTATAACCGGCAGGGTAGGTCGGGCCCCCAGATATGCCTGACAGTATGTTATGATATGTTATTATGTGGTAGCAGTAGGGGTGAAATAGTCCCCGTAACCGGTTGAAATAAACCAGGTGGTAGGTCGAGCACCCATATATGCTTGACAAGGTAGGTTGGACACCCAGATATGCCTGACAGTAGGATTATGGTATGTTAGAGTGGTAGGGGTGAACTAGTCCCCGTAACCGGTTGAAATAAACATGCCTGATAGGGTAGGTCAAGCACCCATATATGCTTGAAAGGGCAGGTCAAGCACCCAGATATGCTTGATAGGGTAGGTCGGGCACCCAGATATGCTTGGCAGGGTAGGTCGAGCACCTATATATGCTTGATAGGGTAGGTCGGGTACCCATATATGCCTGATAGTATATGATTATGTGGTATGATGGAGGAACTCACTAAGCTTCATGCTTACGGTTTTCAGTTTTGGTTTCAGGTACTTCTTTTTCAAAAGGAAAAAAGTCATCATGATCGCAACACATCACACTATGATTTCCGCCTTATGAGATCTTTGGGAGTTGTACTCTGATAATACTTTTCTATGACATGCTTTAGTTATTTGAAGTACTGGTTTTTTATTATGAAATGAGTTAACACTATGGATTTCTCAGACTATTTGTTTTATACTTACTTAATTAAAAATGAAACTTTTGGCCATGAATTTTGGGATGTTACTGTTGGATTAGTGTCTAAGTCCATAACTATTTTGGTATGTACTTGACCCGATGGTGCATGGTCCTTTTGGGTTGCCTTCACCAAAGCAACTTGATTGGAGAAATGAATAAAGAGAGGAAGGATAATATGATTTATTAGTATGTTATAAGAATAATATATTAAAGGAGAAATCATATTTGTTTAATTAATATTGGTCAATAATTAATTAAGAATTAGTTTTGTGATCAAATGTAATTAATTAAACTAGAGGGGCTGATTTGTAATTATGTGATAGTTACAAAATAAGGTAAGGATTATCTTATTTATATGGTGGACGAATTTAAGGTTGGAAAGCCTTAGAATTCGAGTATGATAAGGATTCAAGGATTATCTTATTGGTTGCTTAATGGATAATCGACTAGATAAGGATAATGACTGAAACCCTATCTCTACACCTATATAAACACCCCTAGGGTCATGAATTCGTGTATCCCTTCCCAAGAGGTCCTAGATACGAATTCTAACCTCTCACCTCTCTCTTTATACCTTCTCCACTTGCTTATGGTGTTTGTAAGCCATTAGAGGAGTGACACTTGTGACTCTAAGCCTTCCAAAGCCAATTCAAGGAGGAATTGGAATTGTTATTGCTACATAACAATCAAGGTATGTTCTTAAACCTAATTACATATTAATATGATTACTTGTATGCTAGAATTAGGGTTTATAGTCTTGGATTCAAAGCATGTACAATAGAGAAACCTAAATCCAAGCATTAGGGTTTGTATGAGCACATAGGATGTCTTATGACCAAAACCCATCAGTTACAAGTTGGTATCAGAGCCTTGGTTTGAGGGATTCGGACACACCTTCAGGGGTGTCTGGACTCAAATCGAGGGTTTGAGAAATTTTTACAATGAAAATAATTTTTCTAAAATCAAAATTAGGGGTTTTGAGAAAGAACAAGAAGTGTGATGCGTGCAATCGGTCGAGATCAAGTAAGTTTTCCCAAGATACCACAAATGTTTGTTATGATTATATGATATGATTCGTATGCTAGATTAGAGATAAGGATCTAGGAGATATGCCTTTGTATGCTTGTATGAGCTTGTAGATTTGCATGCTAGAACTGGTCAGCCAGTGGTAGGATAGTTTGTTTAGGTTATGCCTGATTGTTTGAGCTTTTGGAATTGTCTGTTGGTATGGTTTAGATAGTTGAATAGAATGGTTTGATTGGAGTATGTTGGTAGATTTCCATTGTATTAATGATGTTTGCTTTGTGCTTTATGGGACTCTTAGTGATGTGAGTTAGCTACTAAGTGAATATGCTAAGTCACATGGGACACATGCCGGATAATCTCAGAGTAATGGACTTAACCCTATTCCGCAGCTCTTGTCTGAGTCCAACCATTCTAGGGATAAGTCTTTTACTTGAAAGATTATTTGATCTTTGTTGCATATGACTATATTCATGAGGTAGCCAGTTGACATTACTATGAATCCTTTAGCAGCTAAGGACTGGGTGGGTTTGGGAACCTAGGAAAGCCTAGGATATGCTTCAGCGGGCTAGTAGTGAGTTTTAGTGAGATTTGGATGCATCACTTGAGGAAGTGTCTTGGAGGATTCGGGAGGATCGCTGAGGAAAGTATGGATAGGTGTGGAAGGTAGTATTGGGCTCATACTGCTGAAAGCACAAGATCCATACTCGAATCAGTGAGAGTCTTGGAGATTCTGAGAAACTTCAGGGAGGAGAATCCTTGAGTATGTTTTGACCAGTAGTTTTGGTGTTGTTTTCCAGTTTGGAGATGAGCACTCAGGGAGGCGGTTCTGGTTCAGGATTAGGTCTCGGCTCAGGCAGTGAGCCAGTCGAGGGAAGGACTGCCAAGATTCTGAGTTTGCATTAGATTGAGGAGATTGAAGGTGTTTTCCGCACTAGTCCCTACTACATATGAGCCAAGGTGTAGTTCGCCTTGGATGTCTTGTATCAAGTGGCAAGGAGCTGCTGGGAATTGATTGTGCGGCCTGTTACGCTTTCTGAATTGGAGACTATGTCTTGGGAGGAGTGTGTGACCCAGTTTGGGGGCAGGGAATGTTCCAGCTGTTGCAGTTCAGCCGTTGGCAAGTGATTTAGTAAGCATGATACGGTGTCAGGCCCTGAAGGATACGATTTCCAGAGTCCGAGGATATGAGATCGATTTGGAGCACATTAGGAAGAGAGGGTCGTACCAGGTGCGTATAGTAGAGGGTCCTGGGAAGAGACCGAGGACTTCAGATCATTGGGTGAAAGGTGATCAAGGTCAATGTCAGTGCAACACGTACGGGAAAGTGTACAAGGGGATGTGTCGTTCCTGGGGTTTATGCTACTACAAGTGTCGCGGGGTTGGTCATGTCAGCAGAGATTGTTCTCATGGGGTAAGTCTGTTATGTTTTCACTGCAATTGGGTGGGTCACAAGAAGGCTAACTGTCTGACGACGAGGGGAGGATCAGTGAGTGTGCCTGCCCCAGACACTTTGAGGATCACTGAAGGACGAGAAGGAAGATCAGGAGCCCCACCAGAGAAGAGTCATACTTTACAGTGACATACAGGAGAAATCAGGAATACAGAAGGCGATGTTGTAGGTATGTACCTGCTGCTCTTATCAGTTCTATCTGTATTTTGTGGTTGTTTCCTTGCATCGGATTTGAGTAAGTGTATCCTGCTTGTGTTTGGATCATATTTTCAAGAAATTTCATATGCTAATTGCATACCATGAATTACTAAGTAGTTCATAGTAGAATTGGTTAGGGGTATCATGTGGAAGGTTTTTAGTCAGCTTCATCAAGCTGGTCCACCTGTATCGATGGGATATAGTGGTTTCATCATCTGTTCTGGTATGAGCGGCGGAGGCTTGTGGGAGAACTTCTGGGTTCTAGCACTACCGTTGCTAGGAGAGGAGTGGTAACAGAAAGATACGTGTGTAGTCTCATGGGTTGTTTGACCATTGGATGTTCCAAGGAAACCGTGTTTTTCGCATGGGTCGTGTTTGATTAGAGTTCAGTGGTTCTGCGAGGATTTGTTAGTCAGAGTAAAGGTTAAGGTTTCTCGTCGCCAACATGGGAAATTAAGGAGTTGGTATAGTAGCATGAGATGTGGATTAAGGTATCGGACTAGACCATAATTCAAGAGTACTCTTCAAGATTTCAGAGGATGGACGATCTTAGGGTTTGACTGGTAATTGATCGCTAGCATTAGCAAGCACAGGTTGTCAATAGTGGATTCTTACAAAGAAAGAAGGATTGGGAATCCTCCAATTCTCATGTGCCGTGAAGACTTAGTCAAATCTAAGTAGGGGACAATCGACCGGGTATTCAGGAGAAGTAATAGGTGTGAAACTAGGATGAGTTTCGCATCCCTATCACGGAGGAATGCGGCCGAGTGACCGTCTAGGTTGAGGATTGTGTGAGTTGAGAGTTCGGAAAACGTTCCAACATTTGGTTCACGCTCTCCCTTAGCATCGGATGGCAAGCCTCGGGAAACAGGTTAGGGGTCCAGTTAGGACTCAAGTTCAATGGATAATTAGATTGAGTGTGTGTTTG